TATACTAAATAATAATTATAATATACAATCACACCTGCAGGACGAGCCAACGACAGACCTTTACATCTTAAACATCTAAGGCTTTAGTATCAATATTGATTTATTAATTGAATTAACGCTGTGTTTAAAAACTGATAAGGAACGTGGGGGATATCGCCACGTCACGTTGACTGAAGAAGACCATTGACAATTGCTGGTGTTTGGAGGTCAGATATTGTAAAAGAATCACGGATGTTTGCAATGAAAGTCTGACCTAACGACTGACCGCTAATTTATGATGGGAAGAGTGATTCCTATCCAGGATCACACCTGTACGAATAGGCACAACTCTGGAGATAGGTAGCTCAGGAGCGACATTCAGACACAGATACAGACAAAAAAGATGAGGCTGCTACTGTTTGTGTTTAGGATGTCGAAGGTCTACAGTCAGTCGTCAATATTAAATATCATACTTATATGTGGATGTCTGTAGTTTCTGTATCTCAGGTTTATACTACTCATATGGAAAACTACAGATAAATCATTATTGGATAAATACCACAATTTGCTGCTTCAAAGCAAACCAGTTATGACCTTCTAGTCGACATGTAGTACCAGTAGTTTGTGGTATAATAGATTTTCCCTCTCTCACAACGGCATTGTTTATTTTTCCATGTCAAGTGGTTGAATACATCGTAATACTTAATTACACAAAAAACCTGACATGTTTTACTACCTGGCTTTCATAGGTATAGAGTTTCCCTTAAGATAACAAGATATACGTTAATCCTGTCAATCGTATATATACACCCCTGGAGGTGAAACCATGCTTATTTAATCAACCGCTTTGGTCGATCTATATTTATAACCTGATCAACACGAATACCTTACTCGTGAGCTTCACGACTCGATGTTCCGATTGCGATCCCCATTCTTGATGGTGAAATTCTCACTTCCCCTTAAATATAATCATTTATGTAATATTCGGTACTGTTTCCTATAACAACGTTTTCTGTAAACACAAGACGACTGTGACGGGGGGACAACAACCATAGACTACAAAATCGTCGTTTCTAACTCGCAATCAGCGACCAAAGCATTAATGCCACTGGGCTGATATGACCATATGTTCCGGAAGGATAAGCGTAGCCTTGATCATTGACAACCGACATGTTAATATAGAAAGAGCTCAAATAATGTTTTGATTTAAAAAACAGAACGCCACTGAAGACAAGGACAAAATAGGGGACAATTTAAAGAATAGATTTGCGTAGAAAATTTTTAATACGCAAGGAAAGTAAGACCGAGCGTTCTGGAGGGTCAGATATTGTCTTCTTCTTTTGCAACACTCGACTAATAATGCTGAGTTCTATCGACAATGACACCACCAGACACACTTACAAACGGTATCAAAGCTAAATAATATAATCTTCGTAAACCCTTATTTCTTAAACCCCGTTTTGACGGGTGTTATTTTCCTTTCTCAGGGGTCAGTGTAAATGTTAATATATTACACTTGATGTATCCATTTGGAGTTTTAATGAACATGTGGTGAACATGTCACCATTTGTTTTTCGTCGCGAAAGTAACTTACACCAGAATATTGCATTAACAGTGAATTGTCCCACAACTGGCTGACCTTTCATTTGTTTTCATACAAGGCTGGGTTTATCGCAGATCGAGTTTATCGAAATATTTCACAAAGACCTTTGTATATCCACCAGAATAGGGAACTGAAGGACACGGCAAACTTTTCTGCATCAGATTGCTTATCTCAATCTTTTGTTACAACGAAACCAACATGGACAGCTTTCCATCAAGCTATTTGATAAGTGAGATGATTTCAATTTAGCAATTGTGAATTTTACATTTTTAATTGGCAATATCCCAATCTATGGGTGTTTACATGTCGCAGCTGATTCGATATTCTAGGGCGTGTTTCCAATATCATGATTTGCGTGCAAAATGTCGGTAGTTGGCAGACCAACTCACATCAGTGTATCGAGAGATGCAGGCTGATAAAGCTTGGCATCTTACGGTCACCATAGTGATCGTTACTCTTCTTCTGTGTGCGATATGAAGCTGGGCATGTTTGATGCTCGTTAGTTTGACTTTTAAGTAAGTCATTGTATGTCTTATTCCATTATGTTATTGGATTGACAAAGATTTATATTGCGAGTATCATTGATGAAGCAGAGGGGCGTTTACCCTTCCGGAACACCTTTTCAGGAGTCTGAGCGTAAATCTTTCTTTTACTTCTTATTTGCCATACTTGTATCGAATTGGTATTGTTAACATGTCTATATATATATATAAACACAGTAAAAAATAGGAAGGTTGCTATTGATAATTGAAAGTTCCCTAAAGAAAAATTGATAGTTCCATGCATAGTGGTGAACTTACTAGTTGGTTACGTTGTATGTTAATACTGGGTCCAGCAGCTGATTTCAAGTTCATGACAGGATAATTGATGAACTTGGTAAGAATTGCTGGGAATTTGAAGAGATTAATTCTTCGATATAACCAAGGAATTACTATGATGACTTGTTGCGACATAACCAATGTGTTCATTAGTAATGAAAAAAAAGGTTTTATTTTTCAACCTAACACAAACCTTTTACTTCTACGGCCAAGGAATCAGTCACCGCCTCCGACCTCAACGGAGAGCTAGATATTACCAGGGTGGAGATAGAAGCTCCAGGAAGCGGTAAAGATAACTACACAGAATGACAACTTGTATTTTCGCCATAAAAGAAAAGAGACAGTGTGGCTTGTAATATCATTCAGCTAACGAGATTCAATCGCAACCCTCTTCATTTTGTGCTTCTTTATCTCTTTTGTGGTAAACTGGATTTTTTTTAGTCGTCAGATATATTCAAATATTTTCTGTAAGGATTTGATGGTAGATGGGTGGCACAGTAGTAACGTACTCGCCTTTCACCGAAACAAGACTCCTCTCGCACATCCAGAGGATGCGATATAATCGGTCATGATAGTTAAAACATTCGATAAAGAAACATCTGCATTTCACAACTTTCGTTACTTTCCCTTTACAGCAACGATGACGAATCCTACGAGGACGAAGCAGCGGTGTCTAATCTATTTAGCTCTATTTGTATGGAAACGTGCTGAAACATTGTGTATCTTTTGCACAACGACTAGTAAACTGTCATATAATGTCAAGTAAACGCTGAAAGATGTTGTCACATACCGTAATACTACACAAAAAAACATATTCAAATGAACTTTCAGTTGAATTCATTGAACGATGTGACAAGGGACGTAACTCTCACTGGAAACTACTTGATCTACAATTACAAACACGTGTACTACTAACTACATGTCTTTTCACATTCAAAATAGTGTTTATATCACATTTAGTAGTGGCATAACCACGCACTATTGCGGAAGGGTAACAACCATACATAATGTCGATAAAAACAACGATAGGTTTGGTTAGCTTTAAATATAGGCAATTCAGCGCAAGTCTATCGGTTGCTAGGTTAAGAGGAATTGCCTGCATATATATATATATTTATATATATGAATGTATACAGTCAAGGTCATTAAACTGTAATGTCTAATGACATTTAGACAGTAGATGTGGGTATAAGGTCTGAAGTTATTCTCACTTCAAATTGTAAGTATAAAACACACACTTTGAGCGTTATACATTTTGATTTGTGACCGCAAAATCAATTTATGAATTTGATTTATCTATCAATGCAGTTTAAAGAATAAAGAAATTTGTAGATACAAAGTACGCATTAAAAATAACCAAGAATTCTTATCATTCACGAAAAGTTAAGAAAAATAAGCAAAAATGCATATATTCCAATGACACATATTCTAAAGCCTGTAGAGAGAAGCTGTGCGACATATTGTTTTTGTTTTCGTTTTTTTTTTCAAATGACTTTCTAACATCTAGCCTTTTGAAAAATCATCACCGGAACAAAAGGCAATTTTCGGAATTTTGAGCATCTGAATTTCATACATCCTTAAGTAATGAAGATAGATATAGAGTGTGCCTCACTACTGATCTGAAGTAAAATGTCAACACAGCACCTAGTGTTACAGTCATCAAGAAGAATGAAGAGTTCCATTACCTCGACACCACTATCCAACTAAATTATACGCGAATTACGGAGAAACTACGACGACGCAACTACAACAGGAGTTATGTCCCCTTCAACATATTGATAATATTATTTTTTTCAAAAATATGTGACAAAGTAAACTTCACATGCTAAACTTCCCATCAAAGGTTGCAATTTGGAGACAAAAACTTCAAGAGAAAAAACAGCTGATATAAAGGACATATACTTTTCTGAATGTTAAATAGTTTACCATCGACTGTTCCAATTTCATTTCTCTAGAAAACGGGTTTCTTAAACCTAACACTAATCTCACTTTTCACTTGCTGTAGCTGTTACTACCAGCCTACATAATGATTGTCATTACAAAATTACTTCACAGATTTGGAGTCCAATTTTTATTGAATGCTTACTAAACTGTTGATTCAGTCCTTCAGCCAGATATGGACATAAATTACGCAATTCCACTTTACCGAAGGTGAAGATCCGACATTCCGTGGTTCGACGCTCCCTACCCATGGCGGTTTATTTCTCAGAAAGATAAAGAAAATAATATGCAGACATAGTTGTGTCTTTTGCGTAAGACTCTTTACAGCAATTGCTCTGGATGATATGTGACGGGCCTCCTGTGTGTTTTTCACTGAGAAAGTAACCAGCTACTGCAAGGAGACACCAGCCCTAAAATGGCTCTGGCTGTTTACATAGCAATACACCTAGCAAACAATCCTCTCCTACGAAAACATATCACCTACAACTACCCCATAGTACAGGTGTCGGCTAAAGGTTACCGATAAAGTCAACGTGCTTTTCCAAGACAGCAAAACAAAAACTAAAATTGAAAAAAGCAACATTGTTTGAATATTTATTGATTTAAGACATACACATACATAATACATGACAAAAGTCAATTCTATATTTCCCGTCCAAGGACAAATGGCGTAGTCGCGACTTCCTATTAACCAGGGAGTGACACCTCGTTGTCTCGTTCAGAGAAAAAATACCGTTAAAGAGTTCAATCGTCGCAAATAATTGCTTTCTGGAATGTACACAACACGGAAAAACATACAAAATACGGCCATCAAAATGTATAACCACGTGGAGAAGTTCTAATGCTAATGTATGTAAATTATTCTACAGTGCGCCATCTCATATGTGTTAAATAATAACTCTAGTATTTTGACCTGCATATTTATATCGTTTTTATTAAGACATATAGATTAAAATAGTCAGAAATTAAGACATTAGTGAGGCATTTGTTTAAGTCCAGAATTACATGTGTAGAAGGAAACTGCTGTATGTTGAAGAGTTGTGGTGTATCACAGAACAACACATTTCATTAACTACTACAGAGTAGAAGAAAGATGGCCTGCAGTTTGCTGTCTAGCTTTTGCAGGTCTTACCAAACTCATTCCACTAACTGTCTCTGTAGCGTGATAAAACGTATTTTTCTAAAGAGGTGCATAACATGTTCAATGAATTTCTCATTATCCCGCATACCACTTTCAGCTGTGTCCATTTCCCTAGATGTTTTGGAGACAAGAGTTATGGTTCTTTATCCCTGTGTATCGTTTTCCTTTGACAAGTGGCGCAACACTGTGATGAATAATATGTCTGTCGACACAAATCCGATACCAACAAATGACAATTTTCTATTCGGTCACCATGGCAGCTATCGTCTGTAAATATACACAAGCAAGTCAAATTGGATTACTTATAAATAGTTTATTTCACGGCGCTCAGTCCTAAACATAACAGCAGCTGGACCGGAAACCATGACGACAGAGCAGGATCGATTTCATCCGATAGAAACATAATAAGAATCTATTAAAACATTCTGTTACCTTTCATATCACGTGACTTTGACATTAATAGGCATTTCACCTTTGCCTTTTGCAAAATTTCATAATCACACTAAAACTAAGTGGACATGCATATGGGCCGTTATTATACATATGTATGGTCCTTTCCATTTTGACCTTCACCTACCTTCTTGTTCGGGACAAGGTCGCAGATTACACCTTTCAGTATTCTGTGGTTTTTCGTTATCATTACATCTGTCTGATGTCTGGTTGCCGTGGTAACACCGCACATCTCTAGTTTTCACAGCGTTATCGCCACAAGTTTCTGAACACTGTGTGGAGAAATCAGTCGAAATCATATGTGTTCTCGTTTGTTATATCCCTGATTTGAATTCAACAAATGGATTTACTTGCAACATTGCGAAATTTCGTTTATATTCTCCGTGAAATTACAAAAAGATGGTTTTAGATGACCTTGAACATACCTCTGACCAGCTGGTGGTGAACCACATGGCCCGGCATTCTTCAACGAGACAAGTCGTAGTCGATTTGGGTCGCGGGGAACGTTTACAATTGACGTCGGACTGGAGGCGAAATTTGCCTCCTACGACAGAACCACATGTGACTTCCCGAGATACCTGTCCCGTCCCACACTCAAGATCGCACTGTCAAAAAAACATAGTCGATTTTGAAAACTTGCATTTTGGTCTTTGTTGTTCTCGAAAACCGGAGCCTTGTTCTTGTTCTAACAATGAAACAGTAAATAATCAACAAATCATGCGTGCATGAATATTGCAAGAATTAGTTTTTATGATAACAACATCTTCCAATGCACAGAGTATATTTAATTCCTTTCTGTCGCATTTAGGAGGGAATACGGATACTTTGAGGATTGGCGAAGAGCCTTTGATGAGAACAAGTATGTAGATGTCATTCTCATGGATCTCCCTAAGATCCTGAACTGTATTTCTCATCGACAACTACTCGAGAAGCTGTCTGCTTATGGGCTAGACAAGGCCGCTGTTGACCTCATCAGCAGTTATCTCGAGGGCAGATTTCAGCGGATTAGGCTGGGGTCCATTGTCTCAACTCGGACCAGCCGGAAAGTGGGTACCCCAAGGATCTGTTTGAGGACCGTTTATCTTTAATATCTTCATAAAAGACATTGTATCCTGTTCTGTACTCTCTATAACTATACGGACGACACTACGTTCTCTCGTTTTGACTGAGACTATGTTAACTTAAAGAATACACTAGAACAGAAGAGTAATATTTGAATTCAGTGGTTTCAAGAAAATGAGATGAAGGCAAATCCTGATAAATTTTAGGCTTTGTCTATTGGGAAACAGACATGACAGAATGCCTGCTTTTAATAAACAAAAAATGTGGTAAAATGTGAAAATGTTGTTAAGACTTTTACGTGTAAATATTGATTTTAACTTAAAGTGTCTGACATTTATAAGAAAGCATCCAAATAGTTATGTTTGTTGAAAAAGAATTGTCTGCAATTTTAGCAAGCAGAGGATTTGAAGAATGTGGATAATTACTCCAGAGTTTGTCAGGCTGTTGCACACCTGGGACAGCCCAGTATGTTCATGCTGATCCTGTACCAGAAATTTAGTCTTTTATCACTAATCACCTGCTTGGTTTATATTACATTTCATAATTTATCAATTTAATTTGACTTGTTTATGTTAGCTTTTAATTTGCATAACGCCCCTTTATTGATAACTGGCCGCCTAGTTCCTGAAAATTATTATAGCATAATATCTTATTACTTATTCAACCTTGTCTTTTAATTCATACCATATTGGAGTATACCATGACAATATACGTATATTACACCTGTAGTGCTTTAATCCTCCGTATAACAACACTTGTGCGATATGCAGATGGTCACTATTACATCACAATCTTTTTAGTGTTTTGAGTTTTGTTGTCCGTGATATATTTGATTATATGTTGCCATGTTATTGTATGTGTTACTCTCTCTTCTTGTGTATCCTACTATGTGTTAGCTGTCTGTGATCGTTTGTATGTGAAAGGCACATATTTTCTTTTGCCTTTTGTGTTTTATTGGTTTTAAGGTAGTTCATCCTTTCAGATTTAATGGGATATAACTCATTTGAATTACTTCCATTTTAATGGTAGATATACCTACACCACAATAAACACATAAATTACATATGTCGCAAGCTTACTTTTACTACCTGGGTCACATATAGGTACATACTTATGAACTGCTATGCCCCCAATCCTGTAACCTCGATTCTGTCCTTACTGTGTCCCACTTCTGCGCGACCCAAGCGAGGCCGAATTTACCGTGCCCCAACCGAGCAACACAATTCAATGCATGTGACGCAAGCTTACCGTGCCCCACGGTTGGGCCACCCACGTAGGTGGACAATAGAGAGATTCACCACAGGCAATAGTGGACAAAGGCTTAGTGTTGGGATCGCAGTAGGTCTCTGCAAGGAGGCGCCCCTGTGAATCTCTACATCCCACGTGTCGCTGACGTGTCCCCCTGCCACACTGGCCCGAACACTGATGAAACGAAAATGAGGATTTTATTATATACATGCTTCCAATAAGATGCATATAAAATCTTGTGGTCTAATTTCACATCATTCTTCTTGTACAACTAACGACAATAGCGGCTATTTGAGCGCATTGACCGCTTGCTACACTGCTATGATGCCTAACACAAAACAAACTATTGCTCCATTTAAGAAATCTCGCATGGAATTGAAAAGAATGTAAGATTCTGTTTATCACATAAGTAAGATCATGGTACATTCATATACGGAAGGGTGTGAAAGATGGTATTGATGACTTACTGGAGACCAACTGACCGTGTACCACTGGTTTGTACACGGTACCAAATTACACGAGCGCTTCATCGATGGCCTTGACCGAGTTGAGCAGTAAGCATCACTTCCGCTACTGCATTTGACGTGTCGCGTCTGGAAGCCATTTCCACACTTTGCACTACACTAAAATCAATGAAATAATTTTGTAATCCAATCAGATTCACGACAACAATTGTAGCTCACCGAAATAAGACTCTACGAAATCATATACTTTTATTCACCGAGACGAAGAAGTAAATTATCTTGAAACAGTATTACATGACACTATGTATTTTATTACTCATCCAATGTAGAGCTCCGAAACAACTTTACCACCTAGGCACCAACGAGGCAAATTGCTACAATTAAGACAGATTTTCGCTGGTTTTGACAAAGCTAGTCAGTGACGGTTTCGTGTCGGAGGTTTACAATAGTTACAACACATACGGTAAAGGTATATTACTGCGACAATACACAGTGACAGAATTTGCCGGAGTCAACACGCTGTCTAGTTCATTACAGCAAAAAACACATATTCACTATGTCTCGACTATTTCACTGACCTCTTGCCATTGCGAAACTTCCCACTGGGGACCACAAGGGATTTCGCCACATCTACGTGATGACACTGGTTCCGCCCTCAAGTCACACAAATAAGCATGTACAGTGCTGTCAAACCCGGGGGCCAACATTTGCCAGCACCGCACGGATCTAACCGATTCTCCGCCACCACATGTCCTGGAACAGGGTGCCCACGGTCCGGTTACCCACCTACAGAGAAACATCAGTCTATGAAGGCAGTATTGGCTAGTATATACAATTGTTTTAGTGAGAAAAGATAAAATTAGAAACTTATTTACATGTTTACCACGTCACTTACCTTGGTTGGCAGCGTTTTTTACCGCATTTATGATAAGTTGGACTTGGACGCAAGCTGGCGTCGCAAAAACTTTCATTGACATGGATACCGTCTTCCCTCTCACATCTAAATAAATTGATCTGTGTTCCTGAAACAAATCAACTGTCCATCAATGTAAGACTGTGTTCCTTTTAATTATTACTTATCAAATATTATACTTTCATTCCAACGATAAGATACGCAAAATATTTCCTGAAGGTCGTGTTGAGTTTTAGGTGAAGGTTTTGCATTACATCGTTCTGATAACCAACCGTCATAATAACAATGTATTTTTATATGACAGAACTTTAATCTGTTGTAGTAAAAATTGTAAGGTGCTGTTACTATTGGCGTATTATAGAAGATCATGACGTCATACCAAATGCGCACGTAGAACTACATGGTGTGATGATATTCGTCCGCCATCTGTAACCGGTTCTGTCTGTTGTTGGAAGGAATTCATCATTATCCACCTCTGAAATAAAACAGAAATAGAAAAATTATACAAAATTATGACGTGTGATATATACACATCAAAATTTATATACATATTAGAGGGGGCAGGGGAGAAGAAGAAATGACTCGTATTTTTGCAAAGTCACCGAAAATCATGAAAAATAAGATGGCCTTTTAAACATGATTTGTACTCTAAAGATTTCAAAGAAAAATACCCGCACAAAAAAATAGACAAAAAATAAATAAATAAATAAATAGATAAATAAATAGAGGTTATAACATGAAATACCGCTCGTACACAACGAAACATTATACATAAACAACAAAGGAAACAACAACATGTCAACAGGATCTTAATTCTAATTCACATTCGCCAGCAAACTTTGAATAAAAGAAGGTTTAACATGTAGACTCCTGAAAAAGTATAAGTCTAGCTCCTTATGTAACAGGCAGTTTAATGATTACAGCCAGGGAAGAAATTGTCTGATACCATATCTGTAAGCCCAAAATTATATATCTATGGCTATTCTCGGTCTTTAAAGACTACTTGTGTGAAAGGAGTACTTTAGTCGTAAAAACTGAACTAGAGACAGCTACAGAGAGATCGCTTGAAGAGATGATACCGTGAATCGATTTTAACTCACAATACCCAGGAAAGATACGGTTAGTCATTGGTTTAGATGGGACCATCATAATTGCACCCGCCTTATTGCAACAAAGTAAAGTTGATCTCTATAGGGTTTTGTATACTTAAACAGGTTCCAGGGTTAGTGGTAAACTCGTGGACAGAAAAAGAAATAAAGGATATACTGACCTGTGTTGTCCACCTGTCTCACGCCACTTCGTACATTTATACCAATTCCGAGGTTCCGAGCCGCAAGGTGGTCCGACGTGCGTCCTCCATCTTGAAAAATAAAAAAATAGCGTCTCAAACAAAGGAGGTCAACGATGACGTAATCAGTTATATGTTCATACTTTGCGGCCAAATAGGCAGGTACATCTCAATTGTTACTTATCTCAAATTTGTAAACTGCCATTAAATGTAAATTGTGTAAGACAATATCTGTCATTGTCCGTACAACGGAGACACTACCTACAGGTTTTATCTATGGAACTTTCAGAGGTGAGCTCTCCTACAGACAAAATGTTATATATCGTTACGAAAATTGACAAGAGTACATGATTTAACCATGAATTGGTGAAAATAGAACAAGTCACCTATCCTGTATCTTTGGTTTTCGGCGATGTCGTCGGTACTTAGCCTCTTGGAAACGTCCTCACTTCCGGTACTTTCAGGGATGTACTTCGGAACATCCATCTTTTTAAGTTTAAGTTTTCGTTGACGTGAATGGCGGGTTTTGATTTTGATACGTGGAGAGTGTTTGTCAAGAGCATCTAGCGTTGTAACAATTGGTGTAGTGGTCTGTTTTGAAACAGGAAGTTGATTTTTATCAGCTGAGTTTTCTGATTCTTCTTTGACTTCCAGCCTCGTTTCTGTTTCACTGCAAAAACATATCCATGAAACAGACTCGATAGAAAAGATGATGAGGTGTTTCCTTTTCAATTGTTTCAAAAATATCGCCAAGAATGCCATTTCTATTCATTGTTTTAGTGCTTCGCTAGTCAATCATATTGCACTTAAATCAAACGAAAGTTACCTCAAGCTCCAGCTCGTGACATGATCATGTACTGAACGACTCGGAGCAGACAATCCGTTGATTGAAGTCACGCTCTGATGTAGAAGTTTTCGCCAGTCGTAACTTTCTTCTTGTGGCGTAGAGTCGATGACGTCACGATCAACAGTTACAGTGGCACGGTTGAATTCATATTCCATATTGATGTCACTGTACTGGTTTAATGTAAACCCCTAAGGGCGGAAAAATAAACATTTGGCACGTGCATATTTATGAAAAATATGCATGTAAATCATTCAGGTAAGAAAACAAAAATAGAAATAAAAGGACCAAAGGACACTGGCTATTTTATGGAGCGATACTTACGAGGATGTCCAGTTGTTCGGTGATGGGTCCCTCGCCTCGGACCGATGAAGGGCCGCCATTTTGACTTTGTTGGTAATACATCAGAGTGCCAGCAATGACCTTTGTCCCGACTAGCCGCTCGCGTCTGTTGACGTCATTTAGAAAGAAGATTCCGTCGGAGGATTTCAAAGCTGTAAAACATGAGTACACACCAACAGCTTATAAATATCTATTGTCATTCCATCTTACTTCAAAATATGTAAATTTGCTAGTGACATATCTACTTGTGACGTAACATTCTAAACGTAAATATTTATTTGAGCGATCGATAATTCTTACTTTGTTTCCGTTTTTGTTGACCACTGTTGCACGACTGCCCATCTAACTAAATTATATTTACACGCGTTTGGTTAGTTCAAGCTTAAATAATGTGACATTGTGGCCATGTCATACTGAAGTTTACAAAGGGATTCAGTACTTCAAAAAGTAGGCCTCAGGCAAGGGGGATACCAAATTAGTGGACATGTTAATTTGATTCAACAGCAAATGGTTACGAGTGAGTGTAAGATATTTATCACATAACTCATATGTGTAAGATAACAAGACGAGAGACTACCATTCATACAGACAATTTCTGACGTCACACTATCATTATTGCAGTTCTGAAATTGAAAACATAGGCGTATCACATGTTAGTTTATAAATTGGTGTCACAACTTGTGATAATTTGTGCGATATTCAATTTGTTACATTGAACATGGCGTCAACCATTGTTTTTTAAAGTTAGATAATTTCCCTTCTCTTCTATTCTTTCTGTTATTGCTCTTTCTTATATGACTTCTTTAAATAGAAAATACTGTACTGACCATGTCCCTCGTCTATACCTACCAGCATTAGAAACCAAGAACAGAGATTCATCTAAATCAGCCGCTTATCTCGAACTTTCCTTACAAAGAAACCAGCAATGACACTTTTCCATAAAGCTATATGATAAGCGTGATGATTGTAATTTCCCTATTGTTAATTTTCCATTTACTGTCATTTTTTCTTAACATTTACAATGTGTTATATAGGGTACCAAAATGCACTCTGGCACTGGGATTCTGCGTATCGTCATCGTATCACACACTGGACTTGGATTTCACGCGTTTTAAAATGCCTCCGCGAAATATAGTCCTTTTGTCGATTTTGTGAAAGTTTTCTTTGATGGAACTTTGAATTGAGTAACCGTATGAAATATGAATGTATAATTTTTTTTTAAATCGCGTTAGTTCTGTTAGTTAGTATCAGAGAGATTAAAATATTGGGCTGTTCTATGATGACAGTTTTTAGGCCGGCAAACTGAATGTTTTCGTTATTTTTGTGTTTGTAAATTGTGGAGAATGGGTAAAATTGAAACTATTTTAATGAACAATGACTCTATATGAAGGATCAACGTTCTATAATGAAAATGAGATTTAACTATAATGTTAATTTTTCATTTTTAATATACATTTTTTTCTCTCCATGAAATCTATATAACGATAACCTATATGAAATAGGTGTTTTTGATTACTGAAATATAATTTCCCACGTTAAAAAATTAATGTCGTTATGACAACAGTGACGTGGAAACACGTCTTTTTTACTTACTGTCATTAATTAATAGTCGATATTTAAGACAATCATGCCACTCTATAAATCAAATATAAAAAAAAGTTACGGACCATCGTGTGTCTAGTATGACATCATTTGTAATTCAACACGCACACACACACACACACACACACACACACACAAATATACACACATATATATATACAATCCATCAATTAGAAATCAGTAACTTATATGAAAATTACTCAAGATTTCACATCCTCTCGTTTCATACTTCTTACTTCACCTCGTGCTCGTGCATAAACATGCTCATAATGTAAACATTCGGAGACAAGCACTGCCAGAGAATTACTCTTTAAAAATGTTTTACGGGGCCCCTAGCACTTGTACTCAGCACTATTCGCCTGACACCAGTCGATCTTTGTCAACAGTATACTTGATCCATGAACCGTGATATTGACAAACTGGTATTTACGTCCAGAGTTTTAGAGTGTTTAGGCTTAAAGGTGTACTTGTATTAGGTGTATGTGTTATGTGTAAAGGTATATACAACGATTACACATGATGTAGACCACATCTTCCTTGTATATATTAAAAACGTAAATTACATACGCGAGACGTTCGCTCAGGTAAAAACATACATGGACTATTTGTGTTTCCTATATACAGAAATATTGCTGTGACCTCCATCCGCGTTGTTTCTGTGACATAGGTAACAACAAACCAGTCACAGCCTAATGGAGACCCCAAATCGGTAAAACGATTTTGAAAGCCATCAACTGCAGAGACAAGTGATGTACCAACATACTAAGTAAATAGGTATGAATGTTGATGTGGAGTCATTGAGCTAATGTTGTAATCATACCATCACATCTGTCGGACTCTAGGTAAGTGAAAACACGATATATGCACTGGTTTTACAATTGGGATTATTAGTCAGCCGCTTGTCTAAATACGCTGGTAGTGCTGTGTAACTACTTGTATTATGCATCTTAATGGATTCATAAGTGGTTTACTGACGTAATACAATGTAATATTAAAATATATTAGATCCTAGTTGTGTGGGTTGTGGTGGTGGTGTTGATAACTGGGATGGTTTCTGGAGAGGTGGGGGGGGGGGGGGGGGGGGGGGGGGGGTGGGGTGGTATTTACATGTACAAGTATCAACACAATACCATTTAAACTATTTTAAAACTATCTTTATGTTAAACCATTCAGTCGCCAGACAAGTTTGTAAATTCGACACGTTCAGTTAGTTATTTACGTAAGTAAAGCGAAAATCGTGCATCTTTTGATAGGAATGTCACATTTCTAAAATGAACCCGGCAACCGGATCCCAATCCTCTCACGTGCCAAGTGGTGACATCAGAACATTTTGTCGAATCGTAGGTAGGGCGAACAGAACTAGAAATGTTCATGTAACTGGATATTGAAGGACAACTTTAAAGAAAAATGGACAATCAAATGTTTCTATGTTGGTACATTGTATCTGCGTATCTGTGGGCACACTATCTTTAATTTGATATTACATCCTACCAGTGATATAAACAGAATTTCCACATGTCGGTGTCAGATGTGTAGAATTTGATAGTACCGGTCACCTTACCAGCCTAGACAAGTGGGACTTTGCCTTGTTGGTGGCAGAAGCTCAGCCTACTATGTAACTCAACAATGAGCAAATGGTCATCACTTCAATTGTATACGCAGGAATTATATATTTTTTCTAACCATCATGATTTTTTAAGGGATCGTTATATATTGTATATCTAGGTCTGTTTCTCTTGAATTGTTAAAAATAATTTGTCCATTAATTCAATCTCCACGCATTTGAGTATGTGACTGCCGTCCTTCAAACCTCTAACATCACCTGATTGTTGGGTATATGTTTTACAGGTGGACGAATGTTGTTATTCTACCATGGAAGACGAAACACACGCTTTGTTGGGGTCTCGCATTCCCATTTCCATTGTTGCCATCCTGACCAACGTCACAGCTCTCATCGTTACCTTCACATCGACAAGGTTACACGGCAATGGTTTCATCCGGAACATTCTTAGTGTGTGTGTCTCGGATCTCATTACAGCCGTCTTCGTTGTTCCTGTAAGTCTCATCTACCATGGAAACATCAGCCACGGAAACGAGGTTTGCAACGCATGGTCGAGATTAGCTTACTGTAATAGAGCGCTGTCATGTTTCATCCTCGTTACCATGTGTATCTTCTGTCTCGTCAGTAAACTTCACAACGATGGGCGGATAACATCACGTGCTTACAAAATCACCGAGATGGTGTTGGTAATAGGTCCATGGCTGTTTGTTTTGATGGCATACGTACCCCTATTTCTTATCGAGAACAACAATACAAAGTCAGGAAATGGTTTTGCAGATCAGTTATGTTTTTTCACCAACACAAACTACCATTTCCCATTAATTATAATATTTTTGGTTTTGCCGCCATGTTTACTCGTACTCACAATCGCTATTATGCATGTCATGTACAAAGTTATGCAGCGCAGAAGAGAACATCCACAGGATCCTGATTCTGAAACAGAAATAGATGGACGTCTGCGCATGTTCACGATTGGTACGTGGCTTGTTAGTTTGATGACAGTTTGTTGTTGGATTCCATTCATAATTGTAATGATTCTTCTACTGTTTTGTGATTCCTCGTCTGTTTCCCAGTGCTACCCTTCGTTACACGCTGTTGACACTACTTACACAATATCACTCATCCCGTCCACACTGACGCCATTGTGTTGGCTGTTTATCAAAGAATTCCGTGTCAAGTTGTCGTCAATTTTGTCCTGTATAACACAACCTTGTACTTGTGGACAGTCGATTGATTGTGTTAGATGTACTTGTCAGAAATCAACCAATGACGATGACATCAACGCTTTGACTATGTATTGATAATATTGACGCAAATAAAATCTTGGACGGTATAGTAACGACAAGAATAGTGCACGGTATTGTGAAAGAAACTGTATGTATCGTGCACGGCATTGTGAAAGAAACTGTATGTATCGTGCACGGTATTGTATTAGTAACGACAAGTATCGTGCACGGTATTGTGATAGTAACGACAAGTATCATGCACGGTATTGTGATAGTAACGATGAAAGCACGAAAGAAACACCGTGGTATTACCAGATAACATAAATATATTGTTTCAGTTGTTACTTTTAATTCTCATACAATCATGAAGAGAAGACATATGTATTTCTTATTTGATTTGCAGCAATATTAAAATTATTCAGATGTTGAAATTGTGTCGCTTAATTCTTACATAAAACACAAATCAAATCAACTTTAAGCACTTTTATTAAGGTTTTAGGTAATTAAACAATAAATAAATAAATAAACAAATAAATAAATAGATAAATATACACACGATTAACAATAAATACGTGACACATTTTCGTCTTATTTCCACACAATACCTGGCTAGCCTTATACATAGTTTGCTCAACAATCAATACAATCACACCAATTGTTACAAAAGCGCACAAAAAAGTTTTGAGATATGTACATCTTTCTAGGATATTAAACATTATGATTTTACAATCGTAATGATGATTTCATTTAGAAAGTTTCTGGTTCTCTGAATCTGGATAAGTTTTCTGGTCGTTAGTTTGCCTGTTGGTTTCATTGTTGTACACCTTGGTTCTCATTTAAGAACCTGACATTACTTATTCTGACCAAGATTGATATGGTTGGTGTCGTCGACCAAGCAGAAGACGCTTTGCCTATCGGAACACATAAGTTTACTCTCTTTATACTTTTCCAGGAATCTCCGTGTAAATCTTTCTTTGTTCATATGTTGCCATAGTTTCATAGTATATATGAAGATGCTGTTCATATGTCGATTATACAGCTATGGAACCATACGAGTACAGGCTATTTCAAGTTTTACATCATTCCGGGAAAAGTGTATACCATGACCGGTAGCGCAAAGGCCAATGTGTCACATTTAAGAGTGGTATTTTGGAAAACAACATTAAGTTTCTTTTTGTATGCAAGAAGTGGAATCAACAGTACAGAGATTTTAAAGATCTCCAAGGAGCTGTTGACCAACTTTCAACAATCTTCTTCCAAAAAAAATTTCTTCTATAGAAAATTTGATTTTACCTCTCTGTACACCATCATACCCCGATCGAAACTGGCACAACCTTAGTTCTTTTATTATGAGAGCTGTCTTTTCCGAGAAAGGTGAAGAGCGGTACAAACATATCGTTGTGAATTAAATTAAAGCACATTTCGTGAAAAATACGTCAAAATCAAAGAAGAAATATAAGGAGGACGAAATCATAAAAATGATCGAGTTTCTGGTTGACAACATCTTCGTCGAGTTTGGTGGTAGTAACTGTTGTCATACCTAAGGGAACTAACTCTGCCCCTTTTTTGGAGTACTTGTTTTTGTTTCCATGCAAGGCTGAATTTATTGGCGACCTCACAAAGGTCATAAAGACTTTGTTAAGTCGTTTATTTTCACTTTAAGATGATGATGTCTTGTCTTTAGATAACACGATATTTATTGATCACGTCCATCGCATCTACCCTCCAGAATTGAAAATCAAGGACACTACAGACTCTTCTATATCGGATGCTTATCTCGAACTTTGCCTTCATTGACAACAACAAGAAGTCGTCAACTGACGGACAAACTTGAAACACAGGTTGATGAAAATTATAGGGAAAGTTTACCGTCGCTCTGGAGATCTCATTGAGAAATATGCTATGCAGGTGGACATGTTAGACGCTCATTTGTTTGCTTGTTGGTTCTGTTGTTGTATACCTTATTCTCACTTGAGAATTGACCAGAATTTACGAGGGATGCTTGATGAGTTGTGAGCCTCAGACTTAAGGCTTTGACTATTGAAGGACATACTGCATTACTTTTCAACATAATCCCCTTAGTATCTTATAACATTCTGCCAGCGATGTTTAAGAGCTTCAATTCCACTTTTAAAGAAATTCTCTTCTTAACCGCACCGAAAGTCCTCCACTGCATGTATGACGTCACAAGAGATCCCAGAGGAATCTTGGTGTCCATCATTGTTTGACCTTTATTTGCTCTTTGAAAGTTGGATCTTTGCTCTTCTTTTCTCTTCTTTGTTTTTGCTCTTAATGATAAGACACTTGAACATTCCTTTGCGAAAATTAATGATAATTTTTTTTGCCAAATCCAAAATGGCCACCTGGAAGCTATTTCGTTTCTTTTGCTCAGTCCCAAAAGCAAACGGGCACAAGGAGAGATCAAAGGGAACATACGTATGAAATTTGAGCGACATCCATACCGTACTTCTTCAGAAATAGCAATAACAATAATAACAAAAAATATTAAAAACAATACTAGGCAAAAGCCAAGATGGCTGCCTGTCGGTCATTTTGTTTCACTGATCAGTCCCAAAATTACATGGGCACAACTAGAGACCTGGGGAAACCTACATATGAAATTTGAGAAAGATCATTTCCTGACTTTTCTAGAAACAGCAATAACAAACGTCATTAAAAATCCAAGATGGGTGCCTGTCTGCCACTTTTTTATCAGTCCCGAAAGTGGGTATTGGAAATGACATTTTTTCAAAATTGGAAATAGATGAAAATTTGGTGGAGCGAGATCAGGCAAATAGGGCGAATGCTCAGTCAATTCAAAAAATCGTTAATTGTAGCCATGGTAATGACAGACACATATTTGTTGTTTTCCGTGGCTCTTGAGTTTAATATTTTGATGGATGATATGTGACATTGATTATTTGTCCCGTTTGTAAGTACCATCAGAATACCATCAGCATCCCAGAAAACCGATGCCATTTCCTTTCCAACTGATGGTACTGTCTTTGCCTTCTTTGGAGGGAGTGAACCAGGGCGCTTCTATTGTTTATACTGTAGTTTGGCCTCTGGGGGTGAAGTGATGGACCCACGTTTCATCGTTATTAAAAAAACACTGCAGAAAGTTAGCAGTATCTGCCTCTAATAGGTTCAGATTAGAACATGACAAAGCCCACCTTGTGTGCTTCAAATCAACTGTCAGAAGTCTTGGTACCAAACGGGCCGAGAGCTTTCTCATTGAAGGATCCTGCATAAGAATGGAGTGTAACATTTCCTGTGAAATCCTAACTGTACTGGTTATATATCTCTCTCTAACTCGCCTGTCAGCCATAACAGTATCATGGATTTTATTGACCATTTCTTCATTGAATGATGGTGTTTGTAGAACTTCCAATCTAGCTTTAAAACTTTGGCTTTGCCGATTTCCAGTTTCCTAACATCTCTTCAGAGACCTACAAAATGTTGTAGGACGCTCCTCCTTTGTTAACTCTAAAGCTCATACTTAATTTTATAATCAAGCAACATTAAAATGCGCGTCTTTGTTCGCTCGTCTGAGGCCTGAAATAAGATGAAACAGCAGGGCCGCTTGACCGAAATGATTGCTCAGTTTCCAACAATTACAGACAAGCAATGCAATGGTACATTGTATATCCCAAAAAAGTACAAGTGAAAAACTACGTAAGAAGTACAGGACAGGAAAATTCATCACTCTCCTTATAACTATCAGGAAACAGTGGATGGTTTTAGAATATTGGAAAGTTAGGTTAGAAGTAAAGGACAGGAAAATTCCATCACTCTCCTTCTAACTATCAGGAAACAGTGGTGGTTTTAGAATATTGGAAAGTTAGGTTAGAAGTAAAGGACAGGAAAATTCAAACGCTATCCTACTAACCTGCAGGAAACAGTGGATGGTTTGGAATATCTAAATGGTAGAAGTACTGGACAGGAAGCTTCTACCACTATCCAACTAATGACAAGATGATCATTGAATACTAAGAAAAAGTAACAGTGCAGGTTAAGAACGTTCCAACACAATCCAACAATATACGGATAAAGTGGAGAAGCGATTGACGACTGGAAAAAATGTCGACATCGTCTAGCTGTAAATAAAGACTGGGAAAATAAGTCCGAATCAGTAAGAGAATTGTAGAAGCCTTGTGGTGAGACCAAACGGGTGAAGACCTGAAGCATATATGCCATGAATGGTTTTACTTCATGAATAATAGGAGAGAATTTAGCGGTTAGAGTGAGTCAAAGTCTACGAAAAGTCGTTCTCTCCGCATTAAGGCCTTTTGTATTTTGATCAAATGAGTCAAATTACCACAGAAAAGCCTGATCGTAGGAATTCATTTCGGATCCTCCAAACTACCTGATACGGAGCGGTTTGTCACAGTAAATTGTCAGCAACAGACAGACGTACAAAGAACACGTTTTCGGACTATTGCAATTCGAAACCTACATACGACCCAATAGGAACGGTTTATCACTAGTTGTCACCGACAACGATCTCTAATTCGTCATTTTTTTTCTACTTCTTTAGATAAAGACAAGAGGCTCGTGGGCCTTAACGGTCATCTGACTATAAATACCTATATATGAAAGAGACATAACAGGCCTAAAATAAGTTGCTCAACTATTCTAAAGCTTATACATTGTTGGTCCATCAAGACATTTTCTGCAAACTTGAAATCATATTCCTTGTACGTGTACTACACAATTGCCAGTACTCCGGACGTATTGCTTGTTGAAAAAGCAAGTTACAGGCCAAATATGGACTTTGGGTATTGAAAGATGTTGCTTAAACATTTTAGCACATTTGACCAAAGTGATCTTGAAAGCTGGTCCAATATCAGCACCTTGGGCCTTTTGGTCAGTTAAAGATTTTAAAACATTTGATCACTGTGACCTTGAAAGTGAGTCAATGGCATTCATACTAAGAGTTTGTAGCCCTACATTATAGTATGCTACAGACCTAATATCATCATCCTGGGCATTTCGGTTATTGACAGGAAGTTGCCTTAGCATCTCAGTACATTTGACCACTGTGACCTTTAAAGTTGTCCAATACCAGCAGACCAAACTTGGTTTAAATCCACTCAAGCATTCCAAAGTCCCTAAGGGTCAAATAAAAATTCTGCATTTAAGAAATGATGACCCCTACCCAATGATGCATCAGACCAAATTTGGTTGAAAGCCATCTCATACAGAAAGAGAAGTAGGGTTTTAAAGAAATAGTTTACGTACGACGATGGACGAAGCACGATGACTATAGGTTAACTTGACTCTTCGGGTCAAATGACCTAAAAAATAAGAAATAGGTTACAATTTTGATTAGTAACTTTTTCAAACGAATATTTATACAATAAACAATGTGCAAACATTATAATGATTATTAAAGTTTAAAACAAAAGTTGACATAATAATTTGTTTCATGAAGTTCTCCGTTTACGCCTCTGCATTCTTAAATAACGGTATAGGAAAAATACAATAACAAAGATTAAGCAATTAAATATTATCTATAGTACAGTTAACACATTATTAAATTTAAGCTTTATTTTGGTATACATTCTAGGAATATCCAATGCGCTTTAAAACGAAATATACATAAAGTCGATGAGTTCAGTCCATAATATATGAAAATTAGCATAGCTCGAAGTCAAATACTGTTTTTACATGATAACAGATTTACCATCCCCTCAATATAACAAAAATGTAATTACCACCTATAAACAATGATATTTATGCTCAGTGACTGTCATGTTTATTAGAGGACTGTATCTTTCTAGCAGTGGAATTTCTGTCTTTCAAGGTTTACCCGACAATATTGTAATCGTTTATCTTAGAAACGGGATGATCGCCAAAAGTGCAAGTAAGTAGCATATCAAACGCCGTGTATATCACCAATCAATAAATTAGCTTCATCTGATTTCTACTTTTGATACAAATTACCACGTTTCACAAAAGTGAACCCGAACTCTATGCAGAGACAAGTAGTATAGAAGAAGATAAAGGAAGGAAAGACAGACACAACGTAAAAGAATTGTCCCCCGATTCTCTCTGGTGATAATAAAACAGAAGTCCTTTCTTCAAAATCCGCCGAACAAAAGACTGCAATTTGAACGGTGTCATCAGAAGTTTGGTAAAGCGCTTCCATCTCATTAAACACCTTCTGATTTTACAACAACTTGATTGCTTATTATGACACCGTACTCTTTATCAAGTTAAATCACAAACGTAATAATTGTGATTTCATCGCAGTTCTAGGCGAAAAAAAAAAACCCACTGTGGGCATAAAGAAATTAGTCAGGACGTTCGTTCACTCAGGCAGGTGAATGAAGTACAAAATAGGTATGATCTACACGGAACATACTACAATAACACCAATGTTATAAGCTAGGCTACCGAATATTTCTCAAAACAGCTAGGGACATTGATAGGGAGATGCTATAACCCCTCTTTCTTCACGCAAGCCAAATTTGCTTACGTAAAGTCAACTTTATGTGAATCCTTTGAAAAAAAACATGACAATCCTGACAGGTTAACAAACCTTCAATTTTATGCTATAGTCAGACCAAAACATTTGAAACTTTTGAAAGTATATGAAGGCATGTGTGTACAACGAGAAGATATTAAATAGCGAAATGATAAAAGTCGTTTTTCAGAAGCGGATTTTAAGACTGATGAAAGATGTTCTTCGGAAGTTTCACTTTTCGGATGCAAATTAATCTAACAATAACAGGAAAGCTCGATAAAGGATTGGTTAATTGTTCGCAGTTGTCACCATCCGTCAGTGGTTCTTAACGTTGCTCTACATCACTCATTGGCCGATCAAACACATTGACGTAGTTGGAAATCTTGTACACGTTAACTTTTCCTTGGGTTTTATCTCCAACCCAGAGGGTTTCCGAAGGACCACACGCAACCAGAAACGGGTTATACAGTGATTCTTTGTCCTCTAAAACCATGAATCCGCGGAACGAACCATTGTGGTCCAGTACAAATACTGACGATGTTGCTTCATCCACAACGACAACGTTTCCTTCCGTATCACATGACAGACCACCCGGATTTAAAGTGGACCGAGGCGAGTCGTCACCCAGAATCGATCTAAGGTATACGTGTTCACTACCTCTCCCTTTAAAATCACAGATATGTGGCCCATCAGCCGATATAATCGATACTGTCCTCCTATCAACGTCGGTAAAACATATGCGATTTTCATACGTATTCACAGAAACACAGGCCGGTTGAAATGTCATATATTCGTCACCAATCCGTTTTAAGACCGACCCAGTGCTAGAGAGCAATAACAGCTGTCCATATTCATTTCTGATGCTGGAGGAACCGGAAGTGTTCACCCCAGCAACAGCTAAGCGTCCGTCTAGCAGAGACGCCATGTCATTTCCCCTGAAATCAACAAGTGACGTAAACGTTGAGTACGTATTCGATCTTGTACAGTAGGTTAAAATCTGGTTAATGTCACTTGCTAACAGAAGTAATGTCTCTTCCCCTCTAAGAACAACATCGTGAATGTTTACACGAGGTATTACATTATACCGAGTTAAAAGATAGCCATTGGTTGTAATTACATTGATAACGTTACTACAGTCAGCAACTACCAGACAATTGTCGCTAGGAGTTGAACAAAGACACGAAATCATTCGCGCTCCTTCCAGGACTTTGCTTGAAAGGAACGTGCAGTGACGGTCAGTCTTACTATCGTTTCGTGGAAACCTCAATGTTCGCTCTGAAGTCCATTGTTCCATTACCGTACAGTCATCTTCGTCAACCTCCCCGTCCTCCTCTAAATCATCCATGAGAACGGTACTAGCACCATCGTCACCGGATTCTTGGTCAAGACCTGCCTTCTTGTGTTCCCTACGGGAAGGTAACCTACTATCACGGACAAAATAATTATTAGGATAGCCTGCTATCCCTTCGGATGCCAGGTTATTTTGTGTTCGGCACAAGGGACACGAGAAGTGTTTCTTACTTTGATGATCGGCAGATCTGACGAGTCCCTCTAAGCAAGTTTTACAGAAGGTATGACAACATCGCAATAGCTTAGGCTCTTTGAAAGTATCCAAACAAACAGAACAGGCATCATCCATTCTTAACACTAGTGCTGGTTTGTATCAAAATATTCTTGATCGCATACAAAATATTACACGTGAAGTGTCTAATGCACGTCATGTTTTCGGAATATAAAACTCATTCTTCTCGCCGACATATTAAATTGTGTATCATTCTGAAACAAAATTAAAGCACATAAGTATATACATCAACAAAATAATTTAACGCTGTTAAAATCATATAACGCGAAAGACTTTTATGCTGTATATTCATACGAAATTACAGAGAGACACCTTGATAATGCAGTACTCCATCATAATATGATTTAAACTTATCTCGCTATGTTTATTTCTTTATAAGGTAAACATATAAAAAGGATAGGTTCATGTGATGTTTTGATGGGTTTGATATGTATCTTGCAACCTCCATACTGAGCTGTGCCGAGTCCAATACGTGCGAGGATTTATAGGTCATTTTGTTTGGGGGGGGGGGGGGGTTGTTTAAAACGTAGCAATGGAGAAAGGAAAGCATATACCTTTAATATGTTGCAATTATAAAACTGATTTTTTCGTAGTTATTTTTAAAAAATCAAATTGGATCTCTCTTGAACGTTGATAAGGCCTTCAAACGCCTTGTGCGTTGATAACTAATGTATTTTTGTTTTGGAAACCCACTTATTAGAAGCCATCGTTACATAATATCACCTTTGCTTTGACGCTCAACTTTTGACTCCCTGTTGCTCAACAAGTACACGGTTTGTTGTAAATATATTTTTTGTGGATATGTATCTTGTTTTGTTTCTTTCTCTTCCTATTTTGAATGTACTGCTTGAGCTGTGTAGATCATTTGGCTCAATCACGGATTGTCGTCGTTTTTAACTTTTTCAATTTAATTTTCAATTTTCAAATTTTGAAAATGGGTAATGGTTACATGGATCAGAGGGTTTCCTCCAATGCACTCTTAGATATATATACGTAGACAGAGTATATAAAGGGTTCCATAAAATATGTAACGAGGAATTTGAATGAATTATCTCTTTGTAAATTGTAGTGTATTCATGTTCAAGTTTTGGAATATTTTGTAACTTCCGTCACGCGAGATAAATTGATATATCTATTTATATTTATAGATTTATCAATTTATCTATAGGACTCTGGTTTACAAAACCATTATTTGATTTAGGAGTACCATTTTGCTGTGTACTGTAACATGATGATATGGTTTGAGCATAATCAAAGTGTTGAGTTGCTGAACACTGAAATATTGATCTTCAGATACTTCACATATCTACGCCTTCAGAAATGTATCGCTTTTTGGATATATTCTGATATGGCTTTTTTGCCTTCATAAGATATTTCGCAACGATTACTAGTCGAGGTTTCAAGTAAGTTTTTATATCCTAACTCAGTAAAGATTGAAATAAATTGATATTATGCTTGTCTCAAATGCCATTTATATTCCAACAAGTGATAGAGATGCTCTTTTCATCATTTCTTAAATTAAATGAACTGATATATATTATACTAAACTATCCAAAAGAATACAGTGAAAGAAAATGTTATAAATTGGTATTAATTCTTAATCTACATTCTTAACATTGCCAAAAGTGTCGGACAAGAGACGACTGTCCAATCAGGTATATAGGAATGTGAGGTGAGATCGATACATGAATTGATACGTGGTGAAAAAATCTAAATATTTCAGATGACCTGATTTTTTTTTTTCATATTTATTTTATTTTTCAAGGCATTTTAAACATACAGATAAACAACCTTGCACACCTCACACACCATAGCAATTATACACCTCATGCATCCTATCATTGTGCAATCATCATCATCATCATCATCATCACCATTCCTTGTACAATCAACAACATCATCATCACCCCATATACAAACATCATCTTCATCCCTTGTTCAATCATCATCATCATTTTAACTAGATATACAAGTACACAAACTTTCACATCCACACATACCACAAAATGAGAAAAGAAAAAATAACTATTCGAAAATGTATTGAAATGGAGAGAGTAAATAATACAGGGAGAGAGAGAGAGAGATGGGGAGGGGGGGGAGAGATAGGGAAGGAGAGAGAGAGGGAGAGAGAGAGATGGGGAGGGGGAGATGGGGAGGGAGATAGAGGGAGAGAGAATGAGAGAGAGAGTTTACTGGGCTAGAGGTGAGATCTGATTTAATCATCCAAAAAATCAAAACAAAAAGTTAGCGTCTGGTGGGATAAAATAAATTTCTCGGAAGAACTACTAAATGTAAATGAACAACCAAGAGAAATACAAATTATTCTATAAATATATACCTGTATACAATGAAAAGATATCAAAGCTCTTAAAATGTACCCTGGAAATTCACAAATATATTAACAGATGAATTAGTCTGAGATTTCTAACAATTTCTCCTATTTTATCCATTCAGCCCTAAACTTCTGTTGGGAAAGTTCCCCTTCACTATAAGCAATACTTTTTTGACACATATAATACTCTTTAATTGAACTGATTAAAACTGTCAGATTTAAGGCTTTATGTAGACATCTTGTTTTGTATATGTAAAATTTGATTAAAATCAAAATTCCATTATCTGTCTTATTACCTATATCATTGCCATTATGTAACAAATTACCAAAGAGAAATCTTTGTTTATTAAAAGAAAATGGGATAAGGAGTGCATCAAAAAGGGTTTCTAAACTTTGTAGTAATGTTTGTGTTTCATGGCACTCCCATAGAACATGAATAATTGTTTCCCGTTCCATATTACAAAGGTTACACATAGGACTATTAGTTATACCAGCTTTAAACAAAAATGAATTAGTTGTTAATATATGTTGTATTATCCTATGTTGAAACCACTGTAGTTTGGTGTTTCTTGTAACTATGAAGGGAGTTATATAAATGTCAGACCAGTTCAATTCATTATCTTCAATTCATTATCTTCAATTCAATTCATTATCTCCCATTTTTTTCTACCAGCAGAAATAATCACTTTTTTATGATCAGGTTATAAATATCCCTACAACCTCTAGTTTAAGAAAAAGGCAATGTTATTTGGAATTAGCGGGTAAACAATTAATTGCTTCTCAAATTCAATATTGCTTTTCTGCAAATATACCTTGACAGAAGAAATTAAACCCTGATATTGAAGAAAGTTAGTATTGACACTGTGCATCTCTTTGAATTCTTGAAAAGTGTAAAACAATAATGTATTGTGATCTTTTACAAGATCATTTACAATTGTTACCCCTCTGTTGTACCAATCTTTATAGAAAACTGACTTTTTTCCAATAGCAAAATTTCTATTGTGCCACAATGGCATTCTTAAGATAAACTTTTCTTGCATTTTTTTAACTCCCTCAGAATCATTAAGTCTTACCCAAGCTTTGAATACATCTTTCCCAAATTTGTTCTTACAGTTTTTCAAACACTCTTGAATATACCCACTCCCAAATCTAGAAAGTTTTTGTAAATCAAATAGCAAATTTAAAACTAATTGTCACTTAGATGGCTTCTGAATTAATCGTCTAATCCAACTCAATTTCAAATAATCTATAAATACCTTAATGTTTACCATTTTGAGTCCTCCCTCATGATAATTCTGAGACATAATATCTCTTTTTATTTTATCTACCTTACTATTCCATATAAAGCTATAAAAAATGGAGTTAATGTTCTGCAAGAAGTGTTCATCAGGGTTTGGTATTGATACAAATAAATTATTTAATTGTGAGAGCAGGAGAGATTTGATCAGAACTATTTTCCCAATGGGTGTAAGACTTCTTCTACTCCAAGTCTTAATAAGTGTCTTAAGCTTAACTAATTTTTTGTCAAAGTTAATTTTGGGAATTTCTTGTAGATTCACAATAAAATCTATTCCTAGAAGTGTAAATTTATTCCGTCCCCACTGTAAGTTCAAATCAGGTAAAAAGGTATCACTACTATAAATTTCATTCCCGATCCAAATAACCTGAGTTTTATCAATATTAAGTTTCAACCCAGATATTTTTGCAAACTTATCCAATTCAACAATAGATTCTTTCAGGGAAATTTCTGAGCCATCTAATATAAGGGTGGTGTCGTCGGCATATTGTGAAATGAGAACTGGACAACTATTAACCTCTATACCCTTAATTCTATTATTATTTCTGAATCTAATACCTAGCATTTCTACACATAGAATAAAAATATACGGAGCTATTGGGTCGCCTTGACAACAGCCTCTTTTGACATTAACAACAGATGACAGGTTACCCCCCTGATTTACAGTAGCTGATACATTAGTATGTGAAACCTTAACCCATTTTCGAATATCTAGACCCAAATTCAAATAACTAAATACCTTGTCAACATATTTCCACGAAACCGAATCAAAAGCTTTCTCAAAATCTAACATTAAAAGCATTCCTGGGATATTCATATCTTCAGTTGCATGATATCGTATACCAGTCGCGTGTTTTCCCCAATGTAACAGCCTGAAATAAATCCTGTTTGATCTTCACATATTAACTTATTTAAAACTGACCTTATTCTACCTGCTATACAACCTGAAGCAATTTAATAACTAATATCTCCCCTTATCTCCCTTCGGAAATACATGTAATAACACCCTGTCTTTGCGTTACAGAAAGGATACCGTTTTTATATCCCCAGTTTACAGATCTTACAATGAAAACCCCTAACTGCTTCCAAAAACATTTTAAAAATTCAACTGTATAACCATCCGTACCAGGACTTTTGTTATTTTTCATTTTCTGCCTCACTATTGTCTAATTTTGGGACCTCAAAGGTGTCCAAATATTCAGTTAAATCAATATCTTCTATTTCAGAGGTGTCATTATATAAACTTTCATAAAAACAGCGAACCTCCTCTAGAATATCCTCTTGGCGTGTTATTACAGTATTCCCTTTCTCTATTTTTGGTATTATTTTTGAAACAAAATTTCTGTTTTCTAAATTGAAAAAATATTTTGTTGGTTTTTTCCCCTTCTTCCTGCCATCTAGCTCTTGATCTTATTACACTACCTTTAACTTTCTTAATTCTAATGTTTTCCAACTCTTTTTTCTTCTTAACATCTAATTCTTCAACATCTACTTGCTCTTGTTTCTCCATGTACTGAATAGTGTTCCTAAGTAAATCTTCATTTCTGTTCTGCACTTTCTT